TCCACATGTTTGCTCCCACTATTAGGCTATGAACTTCCTGAGGCAGGGACTGTCATCTTAAATATCCTTTGGTTCTCAGTGCCAGGCTCCTATTTAGGGTGTCAATAGGTATCTGAAGAATTCACTAGCCTCTGGAAACAGAGTAGACTCTCAACAGTTTCAGGGATGAGTCTTACAACCTTCATGAATCCATTAATATGAAGCAAGCAATCATTATTGCATGGTGGACAGAGAACAGAGGCACCGTGTTGTGGTGGGGGCCAGTGGCAGTGAGGCTCACTCCCTGGCTATGTGACTGGTTCTTGCACAGCAGCACAAATGCAAATCCATGGATTTCACTGCTAAAACCACTAAAGCTAAACTCATGACTGCATACAAACTATGGTAAGAAATAGCACCTTAAAAAAGAATAGTTTTCCCTATTAAAACTACTACAGGAGTGAAGATTAACCAATGTTATCACTGATTAACTTAATCTGTGCATTTCGTGATCTGAGGACCTGTTTAATCCTATCAAGGGATCTTATCCCGAGCTCCTATGTTATGACCATGTCAGATCCCAGCCCTCTGTGAGTTACAAGTACTATATAATGCCTCACTAAATGACTGCCCAGGGACCTAAAGGGTGGCTCACTCCACTTCCTGCCTGGGTGCATCTGGGATGCTGGGAAATTACAGTTCATCACATTCCAGGTGTGCTTATGTGTCATAAAAAACCAAATTTAATGAGACAGACCTGTCTTCACAGCAAACCTCCAGCCAGAGTCAGGTCAGGTCCTGGGGTAGAATTTCACCGGCTAGAGATGCCATGGTGACTGAGTAATTCTCCATGTTTGTCCCTTCAGGTTGCTATAACCATGTCACAGATATTCCACATTAAGCTTTAAAGCAATGTGAGACTATGAACAGTGGATATGTACCTCCTATATATTTCCATGAAAGCTTACTTAGAAGGCCTCAACTCAGGTGAAAAGAAGAGCAACACAAAAATAATGGTTTATCTTACTTGGGGACTACCCTAGACAAGAGAATAGATAATTTAGTCTTTAGAGGCCTGTCCCCCTTTTATTTTCTTCCCTCTCTGTATTTTCCATCTTCTTAGATCCTATGCCTTTATGTTCACAATATTAAAATCCCGTATTTCTGGTGCTCTCAACTCAGTAAAGAGGCCAACAAATGAATAGTTCATCCTAAGGCATGCCTGGCTAATATTAGCTTAATATGCTACAACTCTCATGGGAAATTTTCATTTTAGAAGAAAATATTTGAAGATATAACGCAAAGAAATGATTCTTTATAGAAAAATTTTCAGGTAATTATTACTTGCAAGAAATGAAAGTGGTCTCTTCAGAGATATAATTAAAATAGCCTATTGAGAAGGCAATTGATGTCTTCACTTTCACTTTGATAAGAAACCAGAGAAAACTGGGAAAAACAAAACCAAACAAACAAACAAACAAAAAACTAATTCGCTAAATACTTGGAAGCTAGGAGTTAATTGCTGGGCAAGTTCCAAAGGTTTTTAAAAAGTATTTTTCTCAAAATACAAGGCAGAACCAATTCTAGTTAAGCAAAGGTTAACAGCAATTGAGTTGAGAAATAAAGGCATTTTTAATATTTACATTATGTCAACTATTTCCCTAATATTGGGTGACTATATTGCTAAAGGTGAAAAAGAAGATACTCCTATTACACATTTGACTATTTTGATAGGATTTTCTACTCGGGAAAGCACTACTGCAGCACCTCAAGGAAAATTCCTGATGGCAGTCATCTCAAAAGTATGGCTTGTCAATAACCAAATCAAAGCCCAGACCAAACTCACTGCCATCGAGTTGGATCTGACTCATAGTGATCCCTCCTTGAGTTTCCGAGGCGGTATCACTATGGAAGTAGATTGTCCAACTTTCCTTCTGAGGAGTGGCTGGTGGATTTGAACCACCAACCTTCTGGTTAGCAGTCAAATGCCTTAGGAACTACGCCAACAGAGCTTCTAAAAGACAGGCTACTTTTCTAAGGGACTTATACCAGCTACTCATTGTTGGCTGGAAGAGATCTATTAGATAAAGTTCAATTCTAAGCCAAATTGTGTCTTTCAAATCTTCATAAATGACAATTTTCAGATCTTCACTTATTTGGAAGAATGGGTCTAATGTTCAAGAACATGCATGGTACTCTAGTACACATTCTTTAGGCAGGGACACTGTTTTTATTTCCATCCAAAACACCATGATCTCCTTTGTCATGGACACAAACAGAACCTGAAATCTCTCATTTTCTCAGTACCAGGAGATTGTATTACTAGCAAACATACCTAGTAGAATATTTTCACTTTTTACATCTGGTTAAAGCAATGAGAGAAGGTCTGGTGGAGTAGTGCTTAAGGCTTTTGACTGCTAACCAGGTTAGTGGTTCAAACCCACCAGCTGCTCCTCAGAAGGAAGATTGGGCAATCTACTTCCGTAGTGATCCCACCTTGGAAACCCAAGAAGGGATCACTATGAGTTGGATCCAACTTGACGGCAGTGAGTAGTAAAGCAATGAGTAGTGTGAGATATCATTTATCTTTTTCAACAGCTGTGTAAAAGATGACAAAAGACAGTGGGCACTGGTATTCCAACCCTATCATAAATTTTGCACTATACCCAGTACAACATTCCCTATAGATCAGACTCAAAGAAATGCAATGTATATAAATGCAAAATCTACCCCCAACAGGTGCTACTAGAAGCCACATTAATCCCCACAGAATTCTAAATCGCTTCATGTAACTTTTTCTCTCTTCAATATTCATGCCCTTCCAAGTTATTTATTGCAATCCATCCCAGCATTTTTTTTTTTTTTAAAGCACTACTTTTAGTTTGATTAGAAGTAGCTCATCCCACCCATCAGTGGTAGAGTTATGCTATCTAAGGCTGCTAGGGAGTTTTCTACTCCATGGTCAGTGTAACTGAGGTAATTACTGAGCTCTAAGAAGATACTCCTCGAGAAGCACAAAAGAAAGCTTTACCTTATTTGTTCCAAGGGATGCTGAAAAAGGCTACTATGATCCACAGAAAACTGCTACGAGATGACCCTTGCAAACTTCTTTGGAGTCCCAATTTTTAATATTAAGATAGGACAAAGCAAGCAGTGCCCTCCTTGGCCAGCAGCATAATGTTATTGAACACAGAGCAAGTACAGCAGGCAGCAAATAAACAGGCAACGAAGGGTTCCAAAATGCCACATGCACTATGTCTTTTGTTCAGTCCAAAACATACATAATTGGAAGAGATAAAACATTATCAATAGATTTGGAAAGGAATAATGATGTTTTATTAAGTTAAAATAATATGTGTTGTTCCTCATTTAAACTCCTTCACATTTTTATCAGAAAGTTGTTTACAAGATAAATTTTTTTAGAAAAAGGAACTCTCAATGAAAATTTACACTGCTTAGCTTTTTCACTCTGGGTTACTAAACTCAGGATGAGTTAAAGGAACTATCTATGGGCACATCTGAATTCATGGAGAACTGAACTTCTTTGCTCTGTTCTCCTTAAAATCTTCAGTACATGACTTTCAACAATTTCCAAAGAAGTTACATAACTGTACTGTAAACATTTATTCTTCTAGATTTATAAAGGAGCTTTAATAATCTAATTTTGCAGGCTGAACCAATAATACACACGCAGAAAGGAGTGGTGGTGGGGACGATAGGCTCTGAGACACACAACTTTTATATTTGGATTCTGCCTCTGCCACTTACAAGACCCTGTCCTTGGGTAGGTTATTTAACCTCTTTAAGCCTCAATTTCCTATTCTATGAAGTAGAGATAATAATATTACTTAAACTCATAGGGTGGTTATGTGACATAAATATGCTATTTATAAAGTGTTTATAATAGTGTGTGGTGCTATTTATTAAATAAATACAAACATAGAACAAATTTCATGGGTGCTGTCTCACAAGAGCATTTTATGCCCTACCACTTTACAGAAGTTAGAAAAACTAGTTTGGCTATTTCAAAGCATTCATAAAGGCAGCAGGTATCACAGAACCAAGAGGTATTAACAGTTTAAAAAAGCAAAGCCATTCTCACAGGCTAGGGTGTGGGTAAGAGGGAAAAAGCTTAAAAGCCAACCTATGGGAGACTGACTGGAAATCGAAGAGCTGGAATCAGAGCGCTTTATTTTACTCCCAGGATGGTGAACTAGAATGAAAAAATACATAAAAAAAGAAACAGCAGGAAATGCAGAAACTGGTCAAGAAAGAGAAAAAGTGGCAGACAGAGGGGGAGCCTCCTGTACCCAGATGCAGCTTGGCTAGTAAGAAAAAGGACATAGTTGAAAAGGATTTAGAAACTGGTATTCTCTCCCCTGGTTGCAGCCTCACATGCTGTAGCTGCAGGTGCCATCACTCATGCTCACAGTAATTTTATGATTTTCTCTTGCTGCTGGGCTGGTATGCCAGCTGTTTCGTGTTTATTAGACAGACAAAGATGGTCTTGCTTAGGCGAGCATCTGTCTAAGAAGTGTCTGGCCTCATTGCTAGATGTCTTTATTATCCTCCCTCCTGGTCAAGGGGGCTCACCACTTCCTCCGTGCATGGGAAGGGCCCAATCCCTTCCCAGGAATCAGTTACTGGAATTACAGGCAAAGGCGTGAAGCACTGAGAGAAACCCAAAGGGCTATATCAGGTTCCTTTCCAGGCCAGTAGTCATTTAACACCCCAAACAACATTTGGATGACACCAATAAACTCTCACTCTCATTACTGCATTCCTCTGAGCCTGTCTCCCCTGAAAGCATCGACTTCTGCTGCTGCTTCTCCTTGGTCTACTCTGACTGGCACACCTTGAGTTCTAATCTGTGCTAGTGGGACCACACCTGGGGAGCTTAACAACAAAACAGAAACAGAACACAAACAAAGAGACCCCACCATCAACACTTTCTGAAAGCACAAAAGATCAATGGTGTAAGTATACCCAGCATGTACTTCATACTCAGGAGGGTTCCTTACCTCGGCAAGGATCATTTTTCACTAAAAATTCATCCAAGGCCATCCATCCTCCACCAACACGGACCATAACTGTGCTGCGCAGAATACGGACCAGCCGCAACTGCTGAGAATCCCCAAACTGTGGAATCAATGGGAAATTCTATTAGTAAGTGTGCCTAAAAGCAGGCCTGTGCTCTCTTCTTTCCAAAGCAGACTGTACTCAGACAGGAATGATAATTTGACAGGGAGAATTTGAAATGTCATTTTGAATTTTCACATCAAACCTACTTTTTGTTTGGATGAAGTAACTTTTTTATGGTCATACCCTTTCCCCTTGCATCAAAAATGGGATGGGGAATGAGAGACAAAATGTTAGCTGACTTTGACTCCTTTAAAGATTCTGACCAGATTAAATCTCTACATTCTTTTTTATGCTAGTTTATTTCCATAAAAGAAAAGGTAGATCTAATGTAGACATCAACTTCTGAATACAGTGTGCTCAATGCAAAGGGAAGAAGAGCAAATACTATCCCAAGCCTTAAGAAAACCCTTGCAAAGCATCATTATTATTACAAGCTCAGAAGGAAATATGATTTTATGTCAGATTTTCAGAATTAAACCCTAATAATTCTTCACTTGTAATGTCACCAGGAGAAAAGTATCTTCAGTTGAACGAAAGATTAGATTTTACTGTTATTAAAATTTAGTTGAAAAAATAGAAATTTTATTTTACCATACTGATTACGAACAGTATTCAAAATTATTTTGGCATGTTAAAACAAGTATGGCTTTCTGATAATGGTTTTTTCTTTTTCTACTTCCCAGCCTGTCTGAACATTTGGAATTTCCCATTGTATAAATTATTCTCTTCTCAAAATGAAGAGAGAGGCAACAAAAGGGAAGCATGCTGTGCTCCTAAAGCAAAAAATCAAACATTTACACTGGAGAAATAGAATTCCTAAAATCACTCAATTGCAGGAGAATATTCCCAAGAGGTGAGGGAAAGGGACTGTTTAAGCACTTAATTGGGCTCTTCAAAGTTACAAAGGGGAATCAAAACTTTGAAACAAGGCTCAAAGACTGAAAGTGCTAGAAAGGACGCTTGATAAGGACATAAAACTAACCTCCTCAAAGTCAGTATACTGTGGTCATTCTCTGTATTACGTGGCTGCACCGACTCAAATGTACTGTTGATAAGCAAGGTGACTGAAAACATAGTGTCCCCCTCCCCAGCCTTTTATTTTGAAAAGAAAATTCTTATACCTTTTATCTCATACAGTTTTTAATTTTTTATTCAAAGTGACTACAGCAAGAGCCCAGTGTAGTAGAAACAGCACCAATGTGGGAACCCAGAAATGTGAGGGAAGAGATGTCATGTCCTGGGAAGGAAGCTGCCCTCTGGCCTCTGTAGAAGCCTCCCTCAGAAGCAGAGCCTGATGAGTGATGGGGAGGCCCCGCGGGAGCAGGTTCTGAGAAGAACTGAGGATCTCATCAGACCTAAGAGCAGTGATGGCATGAGTCACTGTGTGGGGTTTCCTTTCGATGGGTGAGAAGATGGGATTAAGGGATCCATCCCACCAGAGCAAATCAGGAAGGAACTAGTTTGTTCTTAGATTACACATTATGGGTTCTGAAATTTACCTCTCAGCCTTTAGAAATGCTCCATTTATTTCATTCTTTTGCTTTTCATTCATTTCTTACTAAGCTTCTCTTTGAAAGACTTTTACTTGTTTCTGTTAAGCTATGGGAAAGGAAGTTTGATCCAAGCCAACAATCAGAATAGCTGGGGAAGTTGAGGCAAGGGTGATTACTGGTTGAAAGGGTTATGGCAGCTCTAAAAATGGAGGCCTGGGAAAACATGGCAAAGCTGGCAGTCAGGCAAAGACCTCAGAACCAGTGTCTGGCAATAGTAACTGGGACACACGTTCCTGCAGTGGCTTAGGTTAGCATGTGATCCCTGAGGCTTCAAAGTACTTCGTATATACAATGAACTTTATGTTTCTAACACTGGAACAAACTTATTCTACTCTCAACTGGTCAGTGCAGCAATAGAGATATTGGTGTCACTTCAAAGAATTCCCTAGTACCCACACGTAGTCATTAGCAAACAGGCTCTACTAATACTCTTACAAAATGATTTATGCAATGAGCCAGTTTGACTGTCCTTATTTTTACTTTCTTCCTATTCTCTGTTTTTCTTATTGCCCTAGAACGTTAACATCATTAGTGATTATTGTACCGCATGGAACTTAATGTTAATTGAGGATCTCAAATCAACTTTTAGTAACATTTTCATTTCATATCACAGAGACAGATTTTACCCATGCAACTTCCTTCCACTTAGACATAGGCCCCCAGAGCCCTCGGAAAGATCTGAAAGGTTAAAGTTACCAAGTGGAGTCAAAGCATCCAATCTTTTTTTAAGTCTGTAATTCGATCCCATTAGATTTTGGTTGGCTGGCCATAATCAGCAAGCTTCAGGCTGTAGGCAATTATGATTTCTACACTATACTTCTCAAGCAGGGTATACAATGGGGTTCTGTTCTGATGACTCTGTTGTAAATCAGTTCTGATGAGTCAAATACCTCATTTTTTTCAAGTTTTCATTATCACTGCCTTTTATTATCAGTATCTTTATAAATTCGATCTCTTTGTCTTTAAGGGTTGGCACAAGAATGATAACATTGGCAAATTACACACTGCAACACTGTACGCAGTACATATTAGTAAAGATAAGATTCAAACAAACAAAGAGAAAAGGAACGGGTCATAACTGTGCTTTGCCATGAGTCAAATATGTTGTAACCGGGGCACTACCTTTGTAAGTGCTAATAAAGTATTTAAAAAAACTGAGTACTAAAACAATCCAGTACCTTTTCACCTACCGTAGATTATAAAATTTGTGTTCACTATAGAAAAACTAATATAAATCAGACTGTGCCCTCTGGTTCTAACTTCCAATGCAGAAGTACAAGACCAGAATCTTTTTAGTAATGGGAGGACTTGATATCATCTCTTGAATTTCCTCAGAATCATATTACCTTTAACTCAGTCCAGAATACCAATGTGTTTAGCCTATCAATTGTAAATGAAAGTTTCAGCTTCTTTTTTTAAAAAAAAAAGCATATTCTTTTGCTTTGCAAAACCGGTCATTTTAGCAGTTTCTCCACTTGGTAAGGCAACCAGATGTGACCCAGGCATGCTTCAGATTACATCCTTTCCCCACAGCAAAGAACAGGCAGCATTAACTATACACATCATTACCAGTGAGAAAAAGAATGTTGCAAGGCACACTGTACCTGATTGCCGAGGAAGAACTATAGACAGTAAGAGTAAAGGATGGAGGGAATGGAAGGAAAAAAAAAAAAAAAGAGAACATGTTGTCAAATTAACACTACGGTATGAAAATCACGTAGTCATGTTACCAGTCTTCAAGCAGAATGACACACGCTGACCATATTCTTATGCAGCTCCTGCCATAGGGATGTGGTTTTACAAATGAAGACGACTTAACTTTCTAATTTCTCTAGTATATGCTGTTCTTGCTAACTCATTTCTCTCACAGGCAATTAAAATATAAGAAAAAAAACACCCCACTAGCAAGCATAAGATTATTTGGAGCTTTATTAACAAATGCCCTAGGTTGGATTCAAGTCAGAATTGCCAAAATATTCCCCAGCTAATAGCAACATAAGGAACTACTGGAGTTACAGCGGGTAAGGCATTTGGCTGCAAACTGAAAGGTCTGTGGTTTGAACTCACCAGCCATTCTGCAGGAGAGAGATGTGGCAGTCTGCTTCTGTAAAGATTTACAGCCTTAGAAACCTATGTGGCAGTTCTACTCTGTCCTATAAGGTCACTATGAGTTAGAATTGACTTGATGGCAGTGGGTTTGGTTTAATAGCAGCATGCTGTGGTTTTGGTGTACTCTGTGGACATTTCTGATGCACTAATGGACTTAAGATCTTTCTAACTTAGTATGTAAAACTGTACAATATAACTTGGCCATCTAAATCCTCTAGGCCAATGCCAGATTTTCCTTAGGACTCTGAAGAATCTGGACAGGCTGTTGAATATATTTTAGGAGCCTTGTTTCAGATCCTTTCTACTTACTGACTTTTGTCTCTCAGAAAGCTAAAACACAAGAATCGCTATATTTAGCACAGCTTTCCAGGGAAGACCACTGAGCCTGGCATCTTCCCAGTGCACCAAGGCTCCATCTGTAGTCTGGTAAAGAGCACAAAGAATGGCTATTGGGGCCCAGACAAAGTTTCTCCAGCCTTGTCTGAGCCTGAGAGCTGCTCAGGTTCACCATGACCAGCCGACATATGGCTCTTTATGTTAATGAAGCCATTAGATATAACTGTTTCCTTATCTTATGGTAAAGGTGCCTTCATCTCCCTTAAGACTGTGGCCAGCAGTGAAATAAAGAGAGGGCTCTGAAATGTCTCCTATTTCACAACTGAAGTATAGCTTACTATCTAGCTAGATACGACACTATTTTTCAGATGGAACTATGTACGACCCAAGCTTAGCCCAACAGGGTAGGACACCCAGTATCTGAATCTGCTAAGATGAAGGTCAAAGAATGAACATATCTCAAGCCCCATGAGCTTGGCCTTCAAGCATTAGTAGCTGGAAGGTGAATTTATCCAGCTTGGTGTGTGCCAAATTGATTTCACCTATATGAATCATATATGAGGAGCCTATATGACCATGGGGAACTCTGGAAGCACAGTGCCTAAGGCATCTGACTGCTAACCAGAAGGCTGGCGGTTCAAACCTACCAGCCATTCCTCCGAAGGGAGGCTGGGCAATCTACTTCCGTAATGATACTGCCTTGGAAACCCAAGGAAGGGTTGCTATGAGTCAGGTCTGACTCAACGGCACTTAACAACAACAACAACAACAACAACAACATATGACCATGAGACCAGAAGAACTAGATGGAGCCCAGCTACCCTGTCAGCCACTCAGAAAGGGATCAGTGCAGGAGATCCTGGATAGAGTGGGAGAACAACATGGAACAAAACTCAAAATCATGGGGGGGGAAAAAAACCCACAGGTTTAGTCTAATAGACTCTGGTAAGACTCCTGAGACTATGGCCCTAGTTATCCTTCAGATCTGGAACTGAACTCACTCCTGTGGCTTCCAGCCAAACAACAGATAGGAAAATAGGGTGAACATTTACATCAGGTAGATACAATCCTTGGAGCGATCAACTGTGGGAGAATAGAAGGACAGTGTTTGCACAGGGAGATAGCTGGGGGTGGGGTGGGAGTGCAGGGGAGAGAAGGGCACAAAGAAGAGGTAACTACAGGGAGGAAGTGGTAAGAGATCTGTTACACTGTGGGGAATTGCAGTCAATGTCATGAAACAAATGTACATGAAATGCTACATGGAAAATGAATTTGCTCTGTAAACTTGCACTCAAACCACCATAAAAATTAAAAAAGAAAAATCACGTATCAGGAAACATCTACCACAAAGGACTTGGTATTCTTTTCCTTACCCGGTATTTATTCTCTCCAATCTGTTCCACCTGAAACCTTTTTGCACACTTGCACTGAGCCACTTGTCTTGTGACCTATTGGTTATGAACAAGAAAAACATGAAAGGGAGAGTAAAACTTACTCTTCAGAGAAACACAGGTTCTGACATGTGAACAGAGGCTATGCACATAATTTTTAAAGGGATTTCAGGCTTTGACACATTCTATTCCAAATAAATGTTATACTTACTAATTGAGGTAACTGAGACACTGAAGGAGAAAGTCATAATATGCAAGAAATTCCCAAGTAACATAAAACACATTTTTTCATCCTGCTTTAAAATTCTTTCAGAAGAAATGTGTGCATTAATATAAACAGGTTAATAAAGTGAATTATGAACTTTTTTTTTTTTTTTTTTTGAATTTCAACCTGAGTCTGAGATTCCCTAGAAGCCAATCCTGGTGTGCTTCAGGGCCACCCTCAAGACTGCCTGGCTGCCTCTCCTGTCCCAGGATCCGTCATCAATGAATCCTAGTATTTCTACATGCTGCTAAAGAATTTGAAGGCGCTCTGGTGGCACAATAGGTTAAACATTTGTTTTTAAACAAAAGATTGGTGATTTAAACCCACCCAGGGGCTCTGTGGGAGAGAGAGGTGGTGATTTGCTTCCATAAATATTACAGCCAAGAAAAATCTATGGGGCAATGGTACTCTGTCACACAGAGTTGCTATGAATCTGAATTGACTCTACGGCACCCAAAAACAGCAGCAAACTACATAATTTGCTATTTTCAATGTGATGCCATATTCAATATAGTACATTTTTTTAAGCGGGCAGAAAGCTCTATGGCTTTCACCATCTTAATGGTATGTATGAAGACCACTCCCCTAAATACTGAGGTAGGATATTCAGGGCTGAAAGACAAGGCAGTTCTAAACAACATGGTAATCTGTGAACCAAAATGTGTGGTACCCTGGAAAGGTTCTCTGTGAACTTTGGATCATCACGCAGATGTGGCTCACTTGATCAAAATTCAGCTAGACTGATACAGAACTTAAAAGTCAAAGAGATCTTCTTGGCCTCTTTGTACATCACCCCCATAGGAGATCCCAAAACAGAATTCCACATAATCACCTCTGAGTACACAAATCAAAGGGCTGATACGCAAACCCACTCCACCAAATTCAGGACAGTAACCGACAGTCAAGAATGCACATTAAATACAATTTTTCTCCATACCTCATCTTCAATTTTATCTGCATCAGTTGTTGGTCGATAAGCATCCTTGTTGGGATGGAGAGCAGCCACAAATTCATAGTAATCAATATAGCCATCTCCATCTCGGTCAAAAATGTCAGCCACCGCAGTCATCTCTAACTTGGTGGTAGGGAACTCTGGAGAAAAGGAATCACATTTTGAAACATTAACAAGAGGGCTTTTTGGTTGTAGGCTATATAAATACTTGAAAGAAAAAAAATTTCAAATACTTGAAAAAAAAAATTTTTTCTTAGAAGCAATGTATGCCCATTTTAGAAAACTGGAAAGATGTAAAATATTATAAAGAAAATAAGTCACCCATAAATTCAGCACTCAGTGACTACTCACTACTAAGTTTTTGGTGTTTTTGCTTGGACTCACCAACATTTTGCAATTAAAAAAAAATATATATATATATATATATATATATATACATATATATATATATAGAGAGAGAGAGAGAGAGAGAGAGAGAGAGAGGGAGAGAGAGAGGGGGAGGGAGAGAGAGAGAGAGAAGTATTTTAGACATACCAAAAGGCTGAATATTATAATCACTCATATAAAAGCTATCACCCAACTTAAAAATTTACTTATCCATTCCACTCCTGCTATATGTTTAGGTTATTTCAGAACAGTAATAATCTGGGAACTAATAGCACAAAGATTTTCATGTTTGAATTACTGCCTTGGATTCTTCCCAAACTGCTTGTCAAAAGGGAAGTGTGAATATATGCAGCAGCCAGAGTAATTTATTAAAATATAAATAAGATCTTATTGTTCCTCAGTTGAAAACTTCTGGTGGTTACTGACTGTCCCTAGCCTAAAATTTGAACAGTCTACACGGTCTACAAGGCCCTGTGTTATCTGGCTGCTGACTGCCCTTCTAACTTTTCCATCTCTTACTACTCTCCTCATGGCTAGCACTTGACACTCCAGCCATGTTAAACTTTCCATTCCTAGAACATGTCAAGTTTATTCCCATCCCTGTGCTTTTTGTACCTGTTCTTCCCTCTACCTGTATCTCTTCCCCAAAATCATCACATGGCTGGATCCTTATCATCCAGGTCTCAGCTCATACATCATCTCCAGACAGACCTTCCTTGACCACTCCATGTAAAGCAGCACACCTGTGAGATGTGCTTTGTGATCTTGACATGTCACTTAACTACTTTATGCCTCAATTATTCCTTCTGTTAGAAAATAAATGTGGTCATAAACACTTTGTAAATTGTTATATAGATGTCAGAAACTACTACCAAAAACTTATTTTTAAACATTTTACTTAGAAATTATCATTCATAAAAGTCAGCTTGTCTATGTATCAAGCATGTTTTGTTTGTTACAATGTGCCAAACAAGACTTGCTTTTTCTTATTCCTAGTGAAATAACATACCCTTCCTATCAAAATGATGAATCAATTTTAGTTAACAGATTACATTACTTCTTTCTCAAGACTATAGCTTTAACTTCAGAAGACTATTTAGCCAGAATATCACCTGCTTCTACAAAATAATTTCAAGAAATCTCAGGTGTGACCTATGTTTGGAATTATGACTGGACTCACTGGATGCTAAAATGCCATCGATAAATTCCTGACGTGTTATCTTCCCATCCTGGTCCTTGTCAATTCGCCGAAAGAAATCCATTACCCGAGATTTTTTGTGATTCATCCAACGCATATACTTTTTCCTCCAAACATCAAAGTCAAAGTTGGCAAATTCCTTTAACTAAACAGAAATCAGAAGTGTCAACAAGAGCTATCATTTGTGGCCCTCAAATGTGCCCAAAGTGTACTGAAGCTTTCAGACATTCAGTAAAGCCATGCAAGGCCTTTGGTGGTGGAGGGGGGGAAGAGGGGAAAGGGAGGCACACCAACAATGTTATCCATGTATTGTCTCATTGGTGAAGGTACAATCTGGCTCCCCTAAAGGAGATTATTAAAGCCATGATTATTTACACAAGCTGTGGTATAATGGAGCAGTGGAAGAAACAGTAACTGAACAACCACCATGGAAAATACAGAATACGCAGAACAAGAATGGGTAGAGCCAGCCTTGCTTTCCCTTTGGACTTTGTCAAAGGATCACCCTCTTTGATATGAGAGGATGGATTCAGAAGGAAGGTCCTCAGCACCCCCATTTACGTTACTTTGAGAGGTGTAACAGCCACAGATCCAGCCCACATCAGGAGGCTTATGTTTCCTACCATTTTCTAGTGACACTTCCATGAGATAATTGGAGTTCTGGCTGGAAGCATTAGGATCCCATCCTGAACCCAAGCATGTTTCTTTGGAAGGCACCAGAGGGAACAAATTGCCCACATGACTTCCATATTAAATATTTGGTCTTGAGAGAGAAAACGGCAGGCCTGTGCAGCAGGCAAGGTGATTTTCTGCACTTGACTCTATCAGTTACATATGCTCAGAATGACTTGAACAGGGGAGCAGTTTTCCCCCTAGTCTTTCAAACTCCAAAGTTGGAAGGAAGTGCAAAACAAAACAAAACAACTCAAAACCAAATAAGCTTAAAACTCAACCAACCAACAGAAGTAACAACAAAAAACACAGAACACTCACTTCCAGGCATAGCTGCTTTGATATGCACAAATAAAAAAATATGAAAGATATTAGAAGTTTGTTTTGGAAACTAGCAAGTATAATACCGTATTTTTAGACTGGGTAATGATATTTCAGGGGGAACCCTAGAAGTCCGTGGTTAAGCACTCAGTTGCAAACCAAAAGGTTGGCGGTTCAAATCTACCAGCCACTCCATGGAAGAAAAATGAGGCCGTCTGCTTCTGTGAAGATTTACAGCCTTGGAAACCCTATGGGGCAATTCTACTCTGTCTTATAGGGCCACTATTAAGTTGGAATAGACTCAACAGCAGTGAGTTTTTGATGATGTTTCAAAATAAATTTGTTTTTCATAATTCAGTGAAGACTAACAATAACAATATCATAAAATTTAATCTTATTCCATAATTGTACAACTTATATCTTTAAACAAAGGGATTAATAATGGTTATTTTTATGCTAAGATATTTAACTGAAGATAACATTTCAAAGTTATTTTCCTGATTCACATCTGCAGCAAGGTGCTGTGAAGATCAGCTCACAGGCCTGACATTCATATGGATTAGTTGGCTTCCTGTTTCCATAACTACATGATACAGTGAAACTCTTACCGTGAGTAATTTTCTCATAAATGTCTTTTATCATATGGGGACCTGAAGGAAAGAGTGTAATGGCTCAGTATTGGTCTATTTCTGAAGAAAGGGGTCAAAACACACAGGTCTTATTAGGAGGGCCTCAGAAGTGCCGTCTTTTGATAAAAAGAAAGCTACTTAGTGGCCCATTACCTCCTCCAGTCTGTCCAAGGCATCATTCAGCTTCCGCTGTCGCTCCAGTGCTAACAGCCAGACCTGTTGCCAGCGGGCAGACAGCTGGTTGATTCGTGGGTTTTTAGCTTCAGATTGTGAGAGGATTGGCATGGGAGGAGGTGTGGGCTGATTTAAGGACTTCCCTAAAAGGAAAAATAACAACAAGATTAGAAACGATGGTTTTCAGTCCATAAAGAAAAATAATGATTATAAACTTAGATATCCTTTATAGTAATATAGAGTCAGTAATTGATAAAGGTATATGGGGCCTGGCAATATTTAGATGTAGAAGCATACTAATTCTACAACTACTGATTCCCTTCCCAGACAACAGGTACTTGTTTCCTACTGCAACTTCACCCAGTTCTGTCTTACCTCAACTGAGGAAGTGCCAACTCAACTCAAAAAGGCAACAGATACCACAGGAGCTGATTTGTTTATGATTATTAGTGCAAACCAAATTTAGGTAACTTGCACTGACGACCAAAACAATGTAGAGGCCCCTGCAAAAGAATTCGCTTAACCACCTCAAAATTCCATGCCAACCCAAGAAAATGGAGTACTGTTACTACTATCTGTTGAGTAACAAAAGTGAGTTTTAAATAAAGACAGATTTTAGTTCAAAATCCCTTGTGGTACAGTAAATTACTTGGTATGGCTTTTCTAGCCATGTCTTTGTAACTCCCACCAGATTACTGGGTAGAGCTATGCAAAAGTTAAGGTGCTTATGGCCTACCAAAGGGACTGGACAACTTGTGAGTAATTTAAAAAAGGTACATGGTACTTTGTGAGGGTAGGACCATGCAAATAAGGTATGGAACCCTATTGTGAGGACTGGTTAGTTTTGCTACACTGCTGGGCTTACAATGAGCCTTCCTAGAGGCAGAAGAGGGAGCTCTTGTGATGTAGTGCCTAAGGCATTTGACTGCTAACCAGAAGGCTGGCAGTTTAAACCCACCAGCCACTCCTCGGAAGGAAGACTGGGCAATCTACCTCCGTAGAGATACTGCTTTGGAAACCCAAGGAGGGGTCACCATGAGTTGAATTGATTTGATAGCAATGAGTTTTAGAGGCAGAAGAGGGAACCTCACTGCCACCAAGAAAGAAGAAGCAGACTTGGAGTGGAGTGTATCCTTGGACCCAAAATCCCTGCACTGGACCGCCTTCAAATAAAGATGGCAGAGACAACTAGCTGAGCAACTAAGAGGCACAAGACAGAGCACTGGGCTTGCCAGCCCGTGAAACGAGAAAGCCGAGTGCCTTTGGGCAGGTGGCTTGCTGGCAGAGTGGGGTGCACCTATGAGCAGAGCTAACAGAGCTTTGTAACACTTGTCAAAGCAGGAGAGAGAGGCATGCCTGAGAGCACAGCAGAGGAAAGACTGTTCTGATTGAAGAACTGAATCTTGAGCATGTTCCTGAACCTAAACTGTAGCCTATAACTTCCCTAATAAACCTCATAATCATGAGTATTGTCTGTGAGTTGTGTGTGGCTACTGCCACAAATTATTGAACCTAGCAGAGAAGCAGTGAATGCTGTGGGAGGGATGGCTAGTGTCAGGGTTACTGAAGGTTGGAGAGTGGCGGCATGTCTAGCTTCATAGGAATAAGCCTTGGGCTATCAATGGTGACTATTTCACCCTTGTGAGGTTGGAGGAGGTCAGAAGGTGCCACCTCATGCCCTTTTTGCATCCCTTACAGTTGTCTCAAAGTGACAAAATTTTTTGTTATATGCACTTGGCAAATATTCATCTTCTATTAGGAATGAAGCCTTTCAACAGAATGGGCTGGAAACATACTGCTACCACTGCGGGATTTCTCGATGAAAGGTGCATGGGTAGGTTCTACATTTTTCCTTTTGTATGTCTTGGTGACCCGATCCACGTCAGGCTGCTTGCGAGTCATCTCTTCCATAAACATCTGTAAATACGAACAATACGAAAAAAGAGTTGAGACTTTTCTCGGACTCAGATGGTATCAGACAACTTCTTACTAACAGAGGACAACAGTATGACTGACTAACCAAATGATGGATGCCCTCAAGTACTCTCACGGTTTTTAAGAAATGTGACCGTGCAAGGCACTTTGTCTGGTGCTAAAAATGTACAGCCTCTGACTTCAAGGAGCAAACAGCTAAATGATGAAAATCAGGAAATCAGAGCACTGAGTGCCACATAGGGTGCCAAATGAATACCTATGGTGGGCTCTTCACAACCTGAAGTGGCAAAGAGGGCAGCCTGGAGAATGGTGCTTGAGCTGAGCTCTGAGGGGTGAAGAATCAGCCAAACACTAACGCTCCAGAGGGGAGACTGGCAGAAGGGCATAGCATGGGCAAAACCAGGGAAGCTCGACACTGTTGTGAGCCAGGGCCCTTTCAGTCCCTGGCTGGAGCACTGGATGCAATCAAGAGTGGCAGGAGGTGGAGCTGGAGAGGCAGGCAGGACAAAGGTCAGAAAAGCCTAGTAGTATCAGGCTAAGGGACTGGGATTCTACTCTGAGAGCATGAGAGGATGGAGGTGGAGTGTGTGTGTGTGTGTGTGTGTGTGTGGTGGTGGTGGTGGTGGTGGTGGTGGTGGTGGTGGTGGTATGAGACAACTGAAGGATTTTGATCAAGGGACAAAACATGGTTAAGATCTTTGTTTCAAAGCCATCATTCTGGATTCAGTGAGGAACATGGAGCTGTGGTGGGGGAATGACTAGCAGGGGGAGAGAGGTTAAGAAGCCACTGAAATAACTGAGGCAAAACATGATGAAGGACTGAGTCAGGGCAGGAAAGATGGAACCAAGTGGTATTTTCAAAGTAGGACAGGTAAGGCCTGGTGACTGACTAGATGTAGTGGGTATAGGAAAGGGAGGAACCCCAGACACATCACAGGCCTCTGCATTGAGTGACTGGGTATATGGAGGGAAAGGAAGCAGGTTTGGAAGGGATGGTGGGGACAGGCAAGGAGGTAAAGATAAAATGGAGCTTCAGAGTTGCCTCTGATATACTTTATGCTTGACTTGAGGAGAGTACGGTGCTAGAGATGAAGGAGATGTGTAAGTCCTTGGTTTTAAAGGTAATGGCTGAAGCTGATGGACTAGATAAAATTCTATAGAAAGGGTCAATAGTCTAAGAGAGAAGGATGGAACTCCATGAACATCAATATTAACAAGTGGCAAAGGAAAAGGAACTAGCTAAGGAGACGGAGAAGGAATGGTTAGAGAAACTGAAGGAAAACAGGAAAATGGAAGGACAGAAGTCAAAAGAACAGAGTTTTGAGAAGGAAGAGCCAACCATGTCCCTTGTCAAGTAAGTCAAGGACTGAAAAGCACCTGTTGGATTTAGTCACTAAGACATGACTGGGGCACATCCTGCTGGCCTTCAGAGGGCTTTGTGCAAAGCCCTGAGGGAGACTTCTAAGAGCAGAGAGCCAGAAAGAAAATGGAGACTTCGGTCTTACTACCACAAGGAATTAACTCTGCCAATAACCTGAATGACCTGGAAGATGATCTTGAGCTCCAGATGAGAACAGTAATGCTGGTTTATACCTTGATTTAAGCTTGGTAAGAACCTAAGAAGAGGTCTCATCTAACTCATGCCCAGACTTCTGCCTCATGGACACCGTGAGGTAAGGAATATGTTTTAAGAGGCTAAGTCTGTGGTAATTTGTTATGTAGCAATAAAAAACAAATACACAGGGCAAACAAAATAGGCTGCATGACCAATGTAGGCAACACCAGTGATCACATAATGTGATTAATATACCTGATGCTCAGCAATAAGGGCTTTCACTCGGTCAATGTTCTGAGGGATTGGCTCCTGATCCCGCTGAAGGAGGGTGGTTTCAGCCCACTGGATCCATGCCAGAAGTTCTTCCAAGAGCTCAGCATTAGCCACCAATTCTGACAAGGCTGTTTCAAGACGCTGCTGGTGCTGCTTAGCCCATGTTAGGACCTATAGTGATAGTAAGAAAGCGTTATCTCTTTCAGCCAAACTTATCCTGCTGTTTTCAGAGCTCTTTTCCCACTGATCCTCACAGTGATAATTTAGAGGACAGAGCACCCAAAGCAGTCAAGAGGCTTGACACTTATCCCAGTGACAGAGCTGGGATAAGAGCTAGAATTAGAACTTGGCTCTTGAAAGAGAATTTGGTATATCCTGTTAAATACAGGGCTTTTTAGCAAGTAGGGGAACAATACACCCAACATACCTGCTGGAAATAATTAATTAACACACCACTATACCAGCTATACCATTCTTCCAGGTTTCTGCACATTACCAAAAAAACCAGTCATTACAAAAATGCTCACTTGATTTCTGATGAGATATTCACAGTGAATGAGAAATGGGGAAAAATTCCTTGTCTTCTTTTTTTTTTTTTAAATAATAGGGAAAAAAACAAGCTCTGTAATATTTCATTGGCATAAACTCATTTCACTGGGCATGTGCAGTCTTCTTCTAAAACTAGTGACTCACCTCCTCAAACCGAGCTCGGATAATAGTGATCCAGTGTTTGATGGTAGTGATGCAATCGGGGTGGCAGACAGCCAGGATGACCTCCCCCATGGCTACTGCTGCATTAACATCCACTCGCTTTTCTTCCACTTTCTTCATGAATTCCTGAACAAAAAAGATTTGAAAACAAAAATGTAAGACATCTCCTATAGCAGGACTATTAACTCATATTGAGGGAAACCATTTTCAGTGTATTTTTTCCCCTAGGTGTTGACAAAGATCCTTAAAAACTTTACTTAGGTGTTCCTGGTGTCCCTAGCATTTTCTTTCCTGTTCTAGAAGACAAGGGGAAGGTGAGGGCTTTACATAGGAATGACCTTCTCACCCAGAGATGATAGGCTAGGAACTTTTTCTATTGCAAGTTAGTTTCACTCTTTTATTTCAACCCTGTTTTTATTTGTTTCTATGCTTGTAAAATAGTATTGTCTTGGCACAAACATAATGACAACTATAAAATACTATATAGTATTTAAAAAATACCCATAACAAAATACAATGGCAAAACAAAGTTTAAAATCTCTCGTTGTTGTTGTTATGTGCCGTTGAGTCAAACCCGACTCATAGCGACCCCTCCTTGGGTTTCCGAGGCAGTATCACTACGGAAGTAGGATTGCCCAACCTTCCTTCCGAGGAGTGGCTGGTGGGTTTGAACCGCCAGCCGTCTGGTTAGCAGGCAAGTGTCTTAGCCACTATGCTACCAGAGCTCCCTTAAAATCTCTCAGTGGGTAGTAAGAACACAATAATTAAAAGAGGAAACAATACTTCCTGTCCTCATTAGCACAGTCAGAATGAGGGCCCAAATACCACATTAGACTTTGCAGCTTGGTAAGTGATGTTGGGGATCAAAATAGGGCCCAAAGATGGTTAAAGGGAAGTCAAACAAAGGAGTGTGTTGGTGAAGGGAAATGGGGTGGAATAACCCACGTTTTCTTTACATAATGCTATACTGTTTGACTCGTACAACCAGTATGTGTAACTTCTGTGAAAATGAATGAATGAATGTTGATCTTTAAGGTGTCACAAAAATCACCAGTCACTTCTCTCATTCACACTGGACCAATGAGCTGGGCTCACTCTAGTTTTGCTCTTTTCTCACAGGAAGTCTGATGTTTCCAAGCATAGATCACCATATGCTGGTGCTGGATTACCTTGTGGGTGTCAATGAGCGACTGCAGGGCTTCTGTGTCATCAGGAAGTGCTCCCCGAAAGCGAAGTGTTTGCTCTGCTTCAGAAAGCCACTCTAGCAGCATGTGGACTGTGTCTCGAAACTCTTCCGCCTGAAGTAACCAAGTGTAAAAGATCAGACTTCTTTCTGCAGCCAGTGGCCTAGACACTGGGGCAAACCACGGAAAGCAGTGGTATCCCTTAGGGCCCTGAGCTCTTCAGTGTACCACAGACACATGATGGTCCTATCCAAGCCCCACAAAAGTCATCTTTCATGGGATTTTTTAAATCAGTACTTGAATTAATTATTTCTCTAATATAAATAAAGGCACTCTGGTGGTACAGTGGTTAAGGCATTTGGCTAACTAAAACATTGGTGGTTCGAACCCCCCAGCTGCTCCGTGGGAGAAAGATAAGGCAGTCTGCTTCTGTAAAGATTTACAGCCTTGAAAACCCAATAGGGGATGCTAAGAGTTGGAATCAACTTAATGGCAGTGAGTTTGGGTGTTTTTGGTTTCTAGTATAGTAAGTGTTAAAAGTCTTGTAGAAAAAAAAAAAAAAAAAAAGGTGGGGACCAGGTTTGCTGGTCCAATAGAGCCTGGTGTAACCACTGAGACTATGGCCCCTAGTTGCCCTTCAGGTCTGGAATTGAACCCACAACTGTGGTTTCCAGCCAAACAAAGTACAGGCATGTGAGTTAAACATTTACCTCAAGTAGACACACGCCCTGGAGAGAACAATCATGGGAGAAGGAAGGGCTGCTTATGCACAGGGAGATAGCTCAGGGTGCAGAAGAGTATGAAGGGATGGACACTGGGAGGAGGTAACTATGGGGAGGAAGTGGGAGGGGAGCTGCTGCATTGTAAATTTTGGTCAATGACATGAGACAAAGTATATGTGAACTGCTGTATGAAAAGTGAATTTACTCTGTAAATCTTCACCCAAATCCTAAAAAAAAAAAAAAAAAAAGTCATATAGAACATTCAGAGTATCAATTTTTGACTTTGCTGGCATTCATTTCAAGACGGCTGGCACCGATCCTGATAAGGAAACTACAGTAGAGCTGCACAAATCCACTCTCCTTTGGGCTGTCCCAGCAAACCTCTTACCTGTTTCAAGGCCTGCTCAAGTCGGCTTTGTTTGGAAACAGAGAGTTTACACACAGTGTCCCAGCGAGTGCTCAGTTCCTGGAGCTGCCCCTTTACCCAAGTGGTATCATCTCGACTATTCTCAATCAGCTCTCGGCCTGACCGCTTCAGTACCTGAACAGTTCCTGTTCGCTTCCCCAGTTCTTTCTGGAAAACCTAGAAAAGAAAACAAAGAATGAGCTTGTCTGAGAAATACTTTGTGTCCAAGAGGCCAAGCCACAGAGAGGTATTATTTAGATCAAGGGTCCTTGGTAGATTCCAATCCCATGTCTGTTATGCAGAGAGAGGTGGGACAACCTATACAAAAGAACCATCAGCTCAGGTATTAAATTGCTTAACTTCCATGAGCTCTGGTGTCATCATCTGTAGAACTGGAGTAATTATACCAACATTTCCAGAATTATGAGTTAAATAAGAGTACATCTACCAGACACATAATAAGAGGTAAAGGTGAATGCTTTGTACAACAGAAGGATATCATTCAGTGCAGCATGACAAGTGTTACTGCTGTGTGCCCTGATTCACAGTGACCCTATATGAGAGTAGAACTGCCCCATAGGATTTACTAGGTTGTACCTTTAGAGGAGATGATGCAGGGTACACTAAATATTGTTGTGCATGGTGTTAGGTTAAGAAGTGGTTATAAAAGCACTCACTTCCATTTTAGGAGGCAGTGGAAATGGGTATCTTTGAGGGTCTCCACCTAAATTTGAATTACTTTGTGACTCAACTGAGGGATACAAACAGGTCTCTCTGTGACCTCAAAGAGTTTTATCACCGCCATATCTGAATCCAATCAATTTTGGTAAATGCTGTTGACTGATGTAGAACTACAGGAACAGTTGCTTTGAACACACAGCAAGGAGTGGCCTCTCTGACAAGCAGGGACACAGGCTCTGTCAGGCTTTCTTCTCCCCTAGACAGTAACGTAGAGCAGAAGATGCACTTACGTACAGGACCAAGCAGCCTTTCCTCCATGCAGCCCAGATCTTGCCCTCACCTTATGAGCATCCATGAGGTTCATGACGAGGTCAAGGTCCCCATGCACAGGCTGGTCCTCGGCCAGCTGTGGCTCCACCTTATACAACCAGTCTACCAGGGCTTGTAAAGCATCCATGAATTGGCCCGAAAACAGTAGGGCCTCCTCCAACTTGTGCTGCCTGAGAAAAGCACACAAACCCCACCATATTTAGGGATTCTTTTTATGAATCGTCCACAATTCTGACTGCTGAAAGGGAATATTGCTTGAACTCTACACAGAGGGCCTTCATGTTGGAATAGTTAGAAATATTATTAAAAATGCTTAAGATTTGAAGAATAATCAATGCTACTGAATTATACATGTAAAAATTGATTTATATTTTGTTGGGTGTATAGCACTGTAATAATAGGAAGAAAAAGTGACTAAGAGATATACCTAAGACATTTTTAATCAAACCATACTCGAGAATGGATTAAATGTAGTGCAGGGGACAGGTATAGATGCCCTTTTGGCATCCTCAAGTGCACTGACTATACCTATGGACATAACTAATCTTGTGTTAGAGGTTTATGGTTTTGGTGTTGGTCTGGCTTTAGATAAGGGTTTCACTCCCAACTGTGTACCAGTTGTATAACTCTGGGCTGTCTCTTAACTTCTTGAACTTCAACTGGCACTGAGTATAAACAGAGATACTGCAATTAACTATAAGGCAGCATTATACAGTGGGTGTTAATGGATGAAAGCACCAGCTTTTGAACCAAATTGCCTAGGTTCAAATCTCAGCTCTGCCACTTAATTCACCCTTGGGGGACTTAAGTAACTGTTTTGTTTTTTCATCTGTAAAATGGGATAATAAAATAACTCACCTTAGTGGTGGCTGTATAATTAAATGGTTAGTAGGCACTGTCTCATAGTTCATAGAGTGGCCTATAAGTTGGAATCAACACAATTGCAGTGGGTTTTTTGAGGCACTGTCTGGGGTGTACCAAGTGCTCTCAGTAAAGGTTAGGTATTACTACAGTTAAATGAGATAATGCATATATAGGCTTTGCACACTGTCTGACACAAGGTAAGAGCACTCAACGAGATAGTTACCGATCTTCAATTACTGCTGGGTTGATTTTGTGGCCTTCTCCATTTTTAATAGTGAGGATCAAGTTTAAAGTAAGAATATTTTAATATATTTTATTCTAATAATTTTGAATAATTTCATAACTCTATGAACTACTTGCAACATGGAAAGATGCTGTAAAAACAGTAACTAATGCATTAGCTCTATTACCATCTTATGGACGACTCCAATAGCAGAGCCTCTTAGTTTTGGGGTCCATGAAGGGGACATTTATGCTCACCGCTCCACAGACTTGCCACAAACAGTATCCCATTTGTCTCTGACTTCTCCCAGTAAGTTGTCAAGTTTTTGAGTATCATCAGGAAGCAAAGTCTTTTCTTTCAGTGCTCTACCAGTTCTGATTGTGGTATCATACACAGGCTGTTTGCCACCAAGAGTTTTCTGAAACTCCTATGTTTCCAAAAACGAAAGAAACAAATATGTTAAAAGTTAGATAACTTCTTTGCTTGGGAAAAAAAATTTGAGTTTCCAGGTTGACGACCAAATATAGGATAAATATCACTACTTCCATGAACCAAAATTAGCAATAACTTATCCCTAAAAAGTTTGTAAGTGAACCCCAGCCTCAATGACCCTGAGACCAGAAGAACTAGATGGTGCCTGGCTACCACTGCTGACCACTCTGAAAGGGATCATAATAGGAGGTCCTGGAGAGAGTGGTAGGAAAACGTGGAACAAAACTCAAAATCTCAAGAAAGACCAGAGTTACTGGTTTGATAGAGACTGGTAGAACCTCCCTATGGTTCCACCAGAGACTATGGCCCTTAGATACCCTTCAAACCTGAAACTGAACTCATCCCTATGGCTCAACTTTCAAACAAATGACAGACAAGCCTATAAGGCAAAAAAAAACACCAGGGAGGTATGTATTCCTTAGAATAATCAACCATATGAGATCCAAAGGGCAGATCAAAGGCAGTAAGGGACATACAGGACAAATGGAAATGGTAAACACAGGGAAGTGGTAAGAGTGCTGTTACATCACTGCAATCAATGTCACCAAACAAAATGTGCATGAATTGTTGAATGATAAACCAATCTGCTTTGTAAACTTTCACCCAAATCATTAATAAAAAAAATTAAAAAAAAAAAAAAATTTTTTTTGGTAAATTTGTTATGCCATATACAGCAGTGCATGCCAATTTTTTTTTAAAAAGACCTAAGTTTTAACTAGTTAATCCACACAATTACTTTGTTTGAACTGCTATCTGAGTGAGCAGAAGGATACTGTCATGGTTCAACAGTGTCTAGACATAAAATAGGACCCTCTTGACTTTTTAACATTAACCAATTAGTTTACTTCTGACTGGCTCTTTTACTCTTAGCAAGCTGTGAGCTTTAGTGAGTACCACACTCAGGACCTACGAGCAATCAACTGCTTTACCTTGTGCTTAGAAAGCTGAAGTTTAATTTTGTCTGGGTCATTGGATATCTCCAGTTCTGAGTCCAGGTGACTCTCTGCATCTTCTAGCCAGTCAATCAGTTTCTTCCAAGCTTCATGGAACTAAAATTAGATAAGAAATAAGTTACAATAGGAATGAATAACCAAACTATACAATACTTTTATGAGACCACTCCTCGGGCTCAATGTATACAGTACAACATTGTTCAATAAATTAGAATTTTTTTTTTAACTTACTTGTTTTGCCCGCTTCCTGGCATCATCTAATGATCTCCCTCTTTCAATAGAACGCTGGACAACTTTCTCCCACCGAGACTGGACACTAACCAACAAATTCTTGATCAGAACAACATCCTGTTTTTGGCTAAGGAACTTTAACTGATTTCCTGTCTGATCCAGCTCAATTATCTGGTCTCGATGAGCATTTACTTCATTAGCAAAAACCTGAGAGAAAAGCATCATTCTTTTTAAACTTAAGGTGAGGTAGAGGAGTTATTTCTTCCAACTATTCTTTTCAAAAGGAAGGTAACAACACCATAATAACAGAGTTATGTTACCTTGTGCTCCTCTATCTGGGAAAGGACGGTGTTTAGAATAAGGCTGGGAGGAGAAGCGATGTTTAAACTCTGCTCTGCTAGAGTGAGCCAGTTGATAAACTCTTGTAGGGAATTCTGGAATTCTGTTGCCAGGCTGAGGGCTTCTTCCAGTTTTGACTGCATTTTAATTAGGAAAAAAAAAACACAAAAAGAAAAAGTGCCAAATTCAGGAATTATAGCTTCGTGGACAAAGACATGAATTGTACACCAAATGAAATGACCTCTGAAAAAGGAGGCCTCATTTAATCAACTCCAAACATGCCTTGTTTGTAAAGAAGGGGACATTTAATGTTAGTGTGTGAAACTGACACAAACGGACAATAACTATGCACATGGAAAAGGAAAGCAAGCACAATTAGCATCTAAGCTGCTTTCTTGGTCTCTTTCCACTTCCTGAGACATCAAAAGACAGGAATAAAACTATTCAATAACTGTGAGGGAACAGACCCCTCAGTGGTGACAGCTGCAGGAGCCACAACCTGGTTTGGGCAAAGATTGCTCCCTTCAATGTAATTTTTGTGGAGTAAAAACAATTAAATGAAAGTGCAGTGCTTTCTATTTAAATAAATGTTTTCCTAAAATATGGCATCTGAAAATGTCTTAGTCTGAAGCATGGTTATGCTATAAACAGAAAAGGTGATAAAAGAAGCCACAGAATTCTAAGCAAAATTTTGGCTGAACTAGATGTATATTTTGAGATACTTTGTTTATTTATGCTAAATGATCTAAATCAGAACAGCCAGAACACTGGCTCATTTAGGGCCAGCGCTATTCTCCACAAGTACACCCCAATCCCACATGTCCAGAAGCTTCATCCTCAGAGACCTCTACATCACAGTGATGACTTCTGTCTCTGGCCCGTCTAACAGGCAGGCCAATAAAATAATGGCAGGTTGTTAAAAATGAATTTATGTAAAATATTCACAGGAAAAAAACCCAAAGATGTACTATTGTTAATCAACTAGTGTTACTTCTAGTTGATTGGTTTCTATAAGATTTTTATTTTCTTCTTTGTGCTTTCAGGTTACTTTTGTAACCTGGAGAAAAAAAATTACAATGAATGCTATAAAATGTACAGACTCAGTCTAAACAAATCAAGGGGCCAAATCAAACCCCTCTCAAATTTATCATATAAATGTTTAGAAGTTAATATACTGCAAGTTCCTAGATGGCAGGAATTCTTTCCACATTGTTTTTAAATCTACATATTCTTTAACAGAGCAACATACACATGTAATAAATGATCTTAGTGATCCTGAGATAAAATGTTTCCACAAAATGAAAAATGACTACCCTTGATGTCCAGTCTTTGCTTGACCAGCTCCACTGATGATGACCTCTTGAGGGAGCCCACTCCACTGTTGGAACAACCCTCTAAAAAATTCTTGATTATGAGCCAGAATCTGCCTGTTTTTTTTCAGCAGCCTTAGTTCTTTTCCCGTTTACAGGAACTATAGATAGATGACAGACTGTTCAAGATATAGAATACAGCCTTACACTCAGGTCCTCCACAGCCATTCAAAATTACCAGACCTCACACTGGAAGCACTCTAGGAAATTAATGCTTCTCTCAAAATGTTCATTTATAAGTGACTCTTTTATGTCCTTCTGTCCATTAAATTCCACAAAGGCAGGGTCTATGTCTTTATTTATTTAAAATTATTATTATTATTTTTTGTGTGTGTGTGTGATTTGGGTGAAAATTTACAGAGCAAATTCATTTTCCATACAACAGTTCATACACATTTTGTTTCTTGCCACTGACTGCACTCCCCATAAGGTAACAGCTCTCTTCCCACTTCCTCCCTGTGGTTACTTTTTCCCTGTGTCCTTCTTTCCTATGCATTTCTGCTCTCTGTGAGCTGTCTTCCTGTGCAAATACTGCCCTTCTGATTTCCCACAGCTGACTGTTTTAAGGAGTGTACCTACCTGATGTAAATGTTCACTTCTACGCCTATTATTTGGCTGGAAGCCAGGGGAGCGAGTTCAATTCCAGGCCCAAAGGGTGACTAGGGGCCATAGACTTGGGGGTCTCACCATCTCTATCAGACCAGTAAGCTGGGTCATTTTTATGATTTTGAGTTCCATTCCACATTTTTTTCCCCACTCTATCCAGGAACTTCTATTTTGATCCCTTTCCAAATGGCTGTATGTCTTTATTGTTTCCATTATATACAGTGTCTGGTACATACATGGTCAAAACTATTTATTAAATAGATATGGACAACAGATCTGAACACGTATTTCACATTTAATCTAACCAGCACAAAGTAAAACTCCATACTCATGAAAAAACAATCTTTTTAGATAAATGTCTTGATTGCCCCTTTTAGAAGATAATTTGTTCTGAGGAAGAGCCACATCAAACACTTCTTTCCTTTTAGTAAATTTCCTTGCATTTTGCACTTACACTAGAAACCAAATTCCTATGGGAAATTAGTCTAACTCTTTGCGTGCCCTGCTCCCAACATTACTAATCTTGAGTCACCACCTGAAAACAAAAGCTTGTTTTTAAAATCCTTCAGTCATTGAGTAGTGATAGGCAGTAAAGTCTTAACTAGGTAAAGAAAAGGAATCAGTATGAATACTGGCAGAAACTAGTATGATCAATGCAATTTGACACAGGTGGACAAAAGAAATTTAACAGCAAAGAGAGCTTGATTAGTATGAAGACTTTACTGACGATATCAGTTCTGCAACTTCTCTTACCATATATTAGTCTTTGAAAAATCTTAATAGAAATAATATGGAATCATCAAACAAACTACTCAAACACAGTAATCACACACTATGTTTTATAATCACACACTGTTTTAAAATAATACCTTTCTTTCTTCCATCTTACTGCTGACCACATGCCACTTCTGTTCTAAGAGTGCTACACTCTGTTCTGTCTTTGAGCCAGACCCAGACTCATCCCGGCTTAGAAGCATAAGTCTGCCTTTGTCAAGCAGGTGATTGTAAGTCTCTTCCTTCGCTTTCAGTTGGGAATAGAGCTCCTGCAAGAAAAGGCAGCAGATATCAACAATATAAATTCTCTGGGGTCTATATTCTATGGAAAATAGATACCCAGACACAGATTTAGGAACACAGCCTGGATAAGTCCAGGCAGGTTTCATCTAGATCAAAAGTCTTTTTTTGGGGCCTACTTCAACTGCTTAGTTATTGTGGAATGAAACTCACAGCTCTTTAATTTAAAATGATTGTCACCAAGTAATTAGGAAAAAAAATCATTTTTCTTTAGGATCAGCGATCACAAAAAAAGACTCTAATAATTTATTTCCCCTTTTCATAAAGGATTTGCCTTGAAATTATATTCTCAGAACGCTATCTTGACATATTAGCATTATCGAATGCATTTACCGAAACTCATACTAAACAGTCCTTTTCAAAACACAACCATCTGCGTTATGCATTTATCCTCTTGATGCTCTCCTCTTTAAGTTAATGTCCTTGTGCCAACTCAACTGATCACCTCAAAATTTACCAGTTCACCAATGTATTTCCATTTGGCCCTTCCCTGTGTCTACTGCTGCCTATGTCAAAATATTAAAAGCTCTGAATAAGCAACACTCCCTAATGTGGTACATTCACTGTCAGTAAAAATGTAGGACTTTATAGATTCCCAGATACACGTATCTGTATGAATTAAAAAAGGAGCTAATGAATATAGGATACTAATGCTCAGTTTGAGGAATTCTCCATTACCATATGTGTATCAAGCTGTTCTCTAGCAGTTTCGGGAAGTCCTCCTGTAGGCTTAGATGCAGAAAGCTGGCTCTCCATTCCAGTCAGTTCCAAGAGGAAATCTTCAATTTCACTGTGGAAACCTTGGGCCTTTTGAGAAAAGACATGCCAGCAACATCAGTAGTCAATTCTTAGTTTCAAAAGTAAACTTTCTAAATGACCATACAAGGACTCTATTTTGAGGGAGGAAATTTGGACTTGGCTCGGGCAGAGTTATTCTGTTGCTGGATTAGCATGGGGCCAATCTATTGTTCACTGTTAGAATGCAGGAGAATCCTTAAGACTCCCTACAACATTACAGAGGTCTGATATAATCTGGTGAACTGATTACTGAACATGAAGGGATCTGACTTGATCCAAGTATCTGAATCTGTGAAAAAGGTTTGCAATGGTGAAGATTTACTAACTTTGAATAGTATTTAAAGATATTGGACTATAAAGCAATTAAAAAAAAAAGAACAACTCAATGAAAAACTGTTCTTTCCAGACAGGTGCTGGCACAGAATGGACCAAACTCTTAAGACATCGGGAGTTGTACTCTGAGTTGCCTTTTCTCTGACATAGGCTTTCTTCTGAATGTTATTACGTGCAAAGCTCTGCCCCCCAACTCTGATGATGCACACACCTGCTGTAGTGTCGACTGAAGCTGCTGCTCCCTCTCCTCTGTTTTTTGTAACACTGACTCCCAGCACTGGTTCATAGTTTCCAAACGGCTCCTTAAACTGCTGGCATCATCATCTCCAGCACTAGATTCAAGAAGCTCATTGCCAGCTTTGTTGACTGTTTCCACTGTGGCTTGATGGGCCAAAACATCATTTTTGAGAACCTAAAGAATGTTGAACAACAATAACTCTATCACTATCATTAAGTTTGATTCCCTATCGCACATTACCAGGAGGCTTCTGGTGGCAGTATTAGGTCTCAAACAATTAGGCTTAGAGATGAAAACTAAAATACTCACATGGTGCTTTGCAAGCTCAACTTCAATGACTTTTGGGTCTCCACTTATTGGTCTCTGAGCATCTAACAACTCTTCAGTGTGAATCAGCCAACTCATTAGTTCCTCTAAGGCATGCTGGAACTGACCAAGGGCCAACAAAGCACCTTCCAGCTTATGCTGCTCAGAAAAAGATATAAGGGGAATATCTGTTAAGAAATTAAACACAGCAGTTAGTAGTTTATTTCTCTATGCTACCATCTGCCTTACCTGTCTATGGGCAATTTTCTCACCCAGGTTTTCCCAGAGGTGTTTCAGTTCTGTCAATGGTTCTCGTATAATGTCCCTGTCTGTTTCATCAGTAGCTTTCTTTAACATCAGTTCACCCTGGTGATTGAGCTTCTCCATCTCAATTTGTTGTTGATAAACTTCCACTTTGAACTCCTATCAAAGACAAATTTAATGTTAACAATGAAACAAGCCTTTAAAACTTAAGAAGGCCCACAGAAGTAGGTAATCTTCAAAAGCCATTCCCAGATACAGACCTTCATTTCATTTAACTGATCTTTAACAGTGTTCAGGTCAGTGCCAACAGGGGGCATGGTGCAGAGTTTAATCACAGTGTTATCTAGCCAGTCAAACATAGCCTAAAATTAAAAGAAATGAAAACATAACTGGTTGGGAGAGGATAGGCATTATCTCTGCTGACATAAGCAGACATAAGTCAAAGCATACCATGTTGTTTCTGGTTTTAGGTGGGGGCAGAGGTTAAGGGATAATAATCCTTTTTCCAGTAATATGGAGATTCAGGAACTAAGTTAACATTAACAAGATAACGTCCAAAATAAATTGCTATCTGGAAATACTAAATTAGAATAAGAGTTAGTATTTCTCATTAACGGGCAGCAAGCTGATGACATCCCAACGCTAATGTGCCACACTGTCTTTTAAGATAATTTGGGTTTGGAAACTCTAGCAAATAATGATTTTCACAACAAGGCCAACTTCACTGTGTAGCCACCATGAGGATAAATACAACAAGCATGCAATGGTGATAAAAATGGCAGGAAAAGAAAAATTTTTATATACATCAGTGTTTTTCTTAACAGAAATGGAAAACTTTGGCTAGAAATGGGAAACCAGCACTGTCTTAGGCTTGAGAATGTTGTAGTGCTATCAAGGTGATGCGCTCTTGTAATGAATTCAGAGAGTGACATAAGTGGGGAGAGTCCACATTTCCCTGGTGATCACCTCCTGGCCTCTCACCTGTAGGGTGTCCTGATACTGCACAGCAGCTTGCATAGCATCCTCAAGCTTTTCTAGCCTCTCTTTCCATGTTTTGTTTAAGTTCTCCCAGGCATTATTCATCTAGAAGAAAAACATTCAATCAGATACTTAAATTACGTAATGCTACTCTTCAGTCCGAGCCCACTAGCATTTCACCTGAATCCCTTCTGCACGTTGCCATACCTCATCAATGCTCTTCTTCACCTCGGGCTTCTCAGTTTCTCCACAGGCAAAAATCAAATCTGCTCCAAGGATTCGAATAAACTCCAGCTCCTCATGTAGACCATCTGTCTCCTCCTTAATAGTCTAGATGTAAATGAGCAGAACATAAGCCAAAACAGAAAACAGAACTTCTCAAACTGTGTAAATGCAATTTATACCCTATCAATAGCAGATGTTGAGCAGGACTGTCAATTTCACAAAAGCTTGCCAATGTTCTTAATATACTGTCTATCTAGACAGTGAAACTTCAGATACTGAGTGGTTATTTTTCACATTGGGGAAGATGGAATGAGCTTCAATAGTGAGCTCATCCCTTCCTTTTGTTAAGCATCTGCCAAGTAGATAGTCCTATGCAAGTTCCTACGAAAAGCATCAAGAGATAATTTTTGTCTCCAAGGAATATATCAACAAGGGTATTAAAATAATACGTCACAAATTTAAGGGCTGAGAGACTACCATAATAGGAGTTAAATAGGCAGTATAATCTTGAAGAAAGCCAGTTTTGTGCCAGGTCTTAAAAAGTGGTTTATGGACTGACACTAACAGAGATGGGAAGGAGGAGGAGAATTTCTATATAGAATTGCTGAAATAAAAGTAAGACATAAGACAGATAATATCAAGGCAGACTTAGTTCATGCTAAATGGACAGACTCCCCAAAAAGAATGGAAAAAAGTTTGTCAAAGTAACAACTGTTAGCTCTGAATGGTGAGTTCACAATTGATTTTTCTTTTCTACCATCTATTTTTCTATACTAAAAAACAATTTTTTTTTGAAAACTGTATTGTGCTTTAGGTCAAAGTTCACAAGGCAAATTAGTTTTCCGTTCAATAATTCATACACACATTGTTCTATGACATTGGCTGCCATGCCCACATTGTATCTAGGCTTTACTCATTTCTACCCTAGGTTCCCCATTTCCATTAGTCCAGTCTCCCTGCTCCTCCTTGCCTTCTCATCTGTGCTTCAGGACAACTGCTGCCCTTTTGGTCTCGTACAGCTGTGCTCATAAAGAAACATATTCCTCATGGGTGTTACTGATTTTTTCATAGGCTAGTCTATTATTTTGTTGAGATGTGACCTCTGGGAGTGGCTTCAGTTCAAATACTGACTTAGGGCCTACAGTCTTGGGGATTCCCCCAGATTCTATTAGATAAGTAAGGCTGGTCTTTTTTATGAATTTGATTTTTGTTCTACATTTTCACCCATTCTAACGGGGACCCTCTACTCAGTTCCTTGTTAGAGTGGCTGGCAGTGGTACCCAGGCACCATCTAGTCCTTCTGGTTTCAGGATAGAAGAGGCAGTAGTTCATGCTGGCCATTGGTCCTTTGGACTAACTGCCTGAGTCTTTCGTTTTCTTCACTCTCCTTTGCTCCAGGTGAGAAGAGACAATAGATGTACCTTAGATGGCTGCTTACAAGCAGCCCAGATGCTATCACCAAACTAGGATGTAGAACATCATGTTTATGAACTGTTACACCAACTGATCTAGATATCTCCCAAGATGATGGTTCTTAGCCTTCAAGCTCAGTAATTCAGTCCCATAAAGTGTTTGGTTACATCTAAGAAGTTTCCATAACTGTGCTCCCTACGTACTCTATAATACATGAATATACATGCAGCACATACAAATATGTACACAGAAATGCTCACAACTGTATTTATATATAGGAGCCCTATAAACACAGTGGTTAAGGTGCTAACTGAAACGTCAATGGTTCAAATCCACCAGCTGCTCAGTGGGAGAAAGATGTGGCAGTCTGCTTCCACAAAGATTTATAGCCTTGGAAACCCTATGGGGAAGTTCTACTCTGTCCTATAGGGTCACTATGAGTCAGAATCAACTTGATGATAGTAGGATTGGTTTTGTTTGGCTTACACCTACATATGCATGCAGGTATAATTCCATATGACCTCCCGTCCCTATTTAGTATACATAACTACTTACATATCGAGTCACAAATGATTATTACTACTGTTGCAGGATTGTGTACATTATACATTTATCACAGTTGCCCTTTATTCCTCTGCACTCCTCAGTGTCTTCTTTGCCTTGGTCACGTTATGCTTACTTCACCCACACTGTGTATTGCCTGTCCCCTCACCAGAATTAACATGTGTCTACTATCTAGTTAGTGTTCTCCCTCTCATTCTTGGTAACCATCAAAGAATGTTGGGTATTTTTTTTGAAGTGGAAAAAAATCGTGTTAAACTTAAAAAACAAAACAAACCATTTATGGTACTCTGCCTGGCAAAGCAGCCAATACAACATACTTGGACAAAGTGATTTCCTAGAGGAAAAACACCTAATTGAAAGAGTTTTGTCTTACCTCAGCAGCTTCAACCTGTTGTTTGATAATGGATGGGTCAATGCCTGGGCTTTCCAAATCATGGACAATATCCTGGGTGTCTTTGATGGTGGTCAAGAGAGCCGCCATGTCATACCAGAACTTCTCTGCTAACTCAAGGACATCAAGGAATTTAATTTCTCGCTCTTCAGCCCGAGCTTTGATATCCTCCCAGAAGAATACCATTTGATCCAATTTATCCTGGATCTCTGAGGTGGTAAAGAAGAGATGTGAATAGGGCTTCTCTAAATACTTGAAATCAGCCTCATCAGAAATTCCAACCAACTATGACATTTTCAATGAAATCATCCTTAAGAAAAGCTCTGAAAATTTTCAATTAAAGGACAGTTTTCCACCTTAGACTTATTACTTTCACTTTAGCAATTTTCCCTTAGGCTGATCTCCCACATAAAGCAAGCATACAGATAATCTGGAAATGTTAACCTTGTAACATAAAGATACTGCTAAGATACAAAACTCCTAAAAACAAAGGAGCTAGGGTAAGAATTCTTATTTCCAGTGTTCTGTGTTGAACTTGCTGTATGTTTTCCCACAGAAAGTGTTATAAAAGGTAGTGATGTTCTACCCACTATTGATACTGTAGCTTACTCACATTAGGGGGTTAAAGGAGCATTTGTTAACTTCTCTGGGAAATCTAACTACCAATTATAACCTTGTTTCAATGAGGAAATGTGTTCCGAACTCTCAATGACTTTCAAATGACTTTCTGGAATACTTAATACTTGAGGACTACCTTTATATCCAATGATGAAATATATCTAGTGAGATACTGGAGATAATAACAGCCTAGAATTTATTCTATTGATATTCTTTAAAAATAAACAGATTAGTTAAGCACCTTTTGCAGCCAGATCCTTGTCAGCTCCCTGAGATCGCCCAATGAGCTCTTCTCCACGGCGTTTCAGGGCCTCAAAGGAAGGTTGTAGTTTTTCTAGCTCCATGGTGGCACTTTTATTGTCACTGATGCACTCTCTAATCTTGTCTACTTCAGCAGGGATCAATGGTGGCATGCGCAGGCGAGAGGAAAGATTCTCCAGAGTCTCCAACATGGGCTCAATTTTATCATGAAACTAAACAAATGTTGGATTGTTTAGCCACCACAATAATTCTATCACACTTCTGGGGAAAATTTTAGGGAATAAGGCAAAGGTATAAACCTACTACTGTTTAGTTTAACCTGTACTACGGATAACTTTAGGATAACTATGCCCAGCAAGAACCCTGAGGGCTATCAATCAAGTGTTGGGTTTGGCTAAGAAATTATTTGACCATAGTACACCAGAGCCATCCCATCAGAAAAAAGAATGCAAATATTTAACAACCAAAAAGTTATTAAGCAAGATACCAGAAATCAACTCAGATCATTAGTGCTGTCACAGTATTTCTCCTATTCCAACTAATGTGACAAGAAAGACTATGAAACTGGTGAGCGTCAGAGTCAGTGTGTCAACATCTCAGATGACAGTTGCATGCAACAGACTAGACCAACAAGTTAGATGCCCTCTACCAGCTGTGTAAATGAATGGGGAGCTCAATATGCACATGACTAGGAGTTTAAAAGTATAATGGCATGCAATTTAACGACCCACTGTATGTAACAGTGAGAAACGAAAATGCTGTAATGATGAAAGGTAATTAAAGAAGGTCAAATCTAACTTTATTTTAAATTAACAACTAGCTTCTCACTTTTCTGGTTCTTTCAAAACATGACTAGAAAAATTTTCATTTATAATCTTAATTGGAGAGAGGGAAAAGGGAGCAAAAAGAATAAGGTTGTCTTCTAAAAGAGCTTCCTAAAATGAACTCTGGAAAAAACAACTCTGGATTATTAAGTAAGGATTATTAACGTTAAGTAAAAAATGGTGGGATTCCCTTAACAAAATCGCTTTCCATCACTCCCTAACTTCTAGGTTCCGCCCCAAAGGAAACTGGCATAATAAACTGCACTAGGGTTAGGGAAATTTCCTTATAGGTAATGACTTCAATTTTCAGCTTTATCCCAGTGGGGGTGGGTACCTTACCTCCGTAATCTGTAATGGTGGGCGCAGTCAACACAACAATGAAATGTGACGATGTGGGGAAGACAGGAGCAGGCAGCAACAACATAAAGTAACACATTCCACAATGTGAGTGAGAGATGGGATGGAAGGTGGGGGGAAAAACTCGAGTAAGTACAAATATTAACCAAGAATACTGACTAAACATAGGAATAAAATACCCAGACATGACAAAAGTACCACTAATAGTAATGTATTAGTTGAAAAGTATGTAGTTACATGCTTTAAACTCAACTGCTGGTGGCTGATACTTCTCTTTGGCTCTTACATCTCCCTACTCAAGCATCTTTTTCTGAACTAGAAGCTAGCTGGTGGCCTCTTGATTAAGAAGACTATGTACTGTCATCCTAACTCTGAAAAGTAATAGGCCCAACGGGAACCTGACCTTTCTTGAAGTATTCATTGCTTTTGATTCTGCTAGATGAGTTTATCCAACATTATCCCTGCTAAAAGTTTTCAGGGAAACTGGTGGTGCAGTGGTTAAAGCATATGGCTGCTAACCAAAAGGCAGTGGTCTGAACCCACCAGCCACTCTGTGGGAGAAAGATGAGGTAGTCTGCTTCCAGAAAGATTTATAGCCTTGGAAACCCTATGGGGCAATTCTACTCTTTACTATAGGTTGCTATGAGTTGGAATTGACCCAATGGCAAGGGGTATCAACAGATAATATACCAGCCAAGATGCATTTTACCCTCTTTACAGTGTTAGTATACCAACGTTCCTTGGAATAAAAATGTAAGTAAGTAGTATTTCCCAGTTTATTGATAGTACATCATCAGCATGCGGGGTCAGGGCCTTTCTGAACACAGAAGCATACCTGATACAGAGATGACCTCTTGCTTAGACTAAAGGACAGTTGAAGGTTATATGAGCTTAAGACACACGTGTACCTGAGCAGACTGGGAAACAGCTTCATCCAGAGCCAGAGCCCGCTGGCGCACCTCCTCTTTTATTTGGGCATACATGTTTTCTGCTTTCTGGTATTTTTCTTCTACCATTTCCCCCTCCTCAGGGTTTAGCTCCTTTAGTTGTGGACCTATCTTCAGTAGCTTATCAATATGAGGTTTATGTTCAGCAATGGATTCCCTTAGTTGCTATGTAAAGAAATATGAATTCAAACATATGAGTATTTTTATATCAGTTTATTTATTCACATAACTTGATCATAGCTTATAATCAACTTTGAAAGCAATAGACTAAAGTGTTAAAAAGCACTGAGTGCAGCATCACACAATTTATGGGGAACAAAAAACACCTAAGTCTTGGGCTCTGACACTACCTGTTTCTTCTAATTTTCAAAAGTCAGTTCAGACGTTCCATAACCCAGAAAATCTTTCTGGCACATCCTTTCCCACTCCTTCTGTACTCATAAATACCTCTACGTATGATATTATTGTAATTTACATGGTTTAACACCTGTCTTCTTCACCACAATGAGAAACACCAAGCAAGATATGCTATGGATAGCAACATTTCTGGTAATCCACCTGCTCCTTCGCCCTACTCATGGCTACTTCCAGTTTACACCTTTCACTTTCAAGGATATGGGGATAGGTATACACATAGGCCATAAACCAGAAATAAAATAAACATCTAAAAAGC